ATATATATATATATATATATATATATATATATATATATATATATATGGTTATATAGACATTAACATTAACAATGCGCTGCATTCGAGCCTTTTCCAGAAATCAAAAAACTTTCATCCACTGTCATCTTCAAAATTCAAGTAGTGAAAGAAAAACGAAAGAAGGTGATGTAGCGGGAAATATCCTTGGTTATTGTCGTCGCCTTTGCGTGACTACACGTGCTGAAGATGGTTCCATGCATTTAATATGCGACCACCATTGCTTATTTTACCCATCCCAACCATTCAATTGACTGCTCCAAGCAAACCTCTTCATCTTCCCTATAGAATCAGCTTCAGCGAACCTTTCTATGGAGATCCAAAATACTTTCCAAATTCAATGGGATAAGACACCATATCAGTCCTTCACCGATTACTTTTTTGCCAAAATTTCCACTCATGGCAGTAACCTGGCTATCGTGGGTTTGGCTTATCTAAACGTCCAACTTTTTCTTTATTTAAGCGTACGAAGCAAGTAGTGTGCTGTCCAGGTTGACGTTGATACGGGTAACCAGTGGCGCTACTCAGAGATTCGTGGTTGGTGCGATACGTGCAGTATGCGACTTAAGGAGCTTCAGGAATGAGTGCAATGTTCTAAGTCCCATTCTTTGCCTAGCTTATTTCGGCGGTCACTTCATAGTAATAAAAATCAGCTGCCGTATCTGGCTCAGAGAAATCATGTAAATGGGCAAAGTATGGGTGTTGTGATTATCATGTAATGTCTGGCGAGTTAAACATCGCTTTCAGGTAACCTCAAACAGTCGAGTAGCAGTGATCACAAGCACCAGCGGTTAGATTACGTTTGTTACCAATAGTGAAATGGTTCCGGAATTTCAAAATTTGTAGGGCAAGCCGTTTTTGTGCATCTGGCATGTGCTCTAATCGGTTGTCCGGCTGTAGCGGTGAATGGGTGGAGCACAGTGGGTTCGTGTTAAGGTTTCTGGTTCTATCTTTATGGTACTCATGGAAGTTTTCTCAAGGTTTTCTAGGTAAAATTTTGTTCACCTGTTCAATAGCTACAACGGGAATTTTTTCAGACGAAATGTGGCATATTATTGACTTAAGTGAATCGACACATTTGATTGTTGAAGCTCAGTTTATGACAAAAGTGAGATAAACAGGTTTTACTTGCGAATCTATGGCAACTTTTGCGATTATTGATTTTAGGCCGATGAAGTACGACGAAAGGCTGCGATGAGAGGAGGCGGTCGAATTAAACAAGTTCGAAATATAGACGATGTTCTAAGTAATGACAGAATTTGTAATGAAATTAAGAGAAGGTAGTTTTTGTCAGTTTGCTGAGAATAGTGTAAGCAACACGATTGTTAAACAAAACTGGACAGTACGCCTCAGCACAATGAAAGCAGTAAAAACTAGTAAGATTCCAAACAACCTATACTCCGCACAATTTTCAGGAATCCTCTTTCCAAAGAGCAGTCGTCGATGAAAATTATGTGAGTTATCGGTTACTAGAAAGTGTTTGTTATCTCGTTATCGGTAAATGCTTCTATCTCGAAATTCTATCGACGACAACACATTCGGATGTTTGATTTTCTATCAGTCAAATAAATAGATAGCACATAATTGCTTCATTAAGGGCATACATTTTATATGTTGTAAATGCGGATTCGACAGATTATAACACTCGTTTAATTGTTCCTTTTTAGAGCAGATAACAAGGCACTATTTCAATATGAGTAGTAGAGTGGTTGTCAAAGACCGAGAACTACAGCTTTTGTCTCAAACATGGAAGTAAAGACAAGACTTGGTTCCATCTCACATCCCATGATTTGTGCGCAGTATTTCTGAAAACAGCGCAAAATTGGGGAAAATTACTTCTTGGTGTTCCTCTAGACGCCGTGGAGTAGCTTTCACTGTGAATTCGTTTCCTAGTTCTTGTTCAGTTTTAGTACAGGACCCTTGACTGACTGTTAAAGTTTAGAATGCCATATTAGAACGTCACCGAGTGGTTAACAGTGGCGTTTTTAGTAATCCATCAGCCGATGAATGTCGATCAGGAACTTTATCTCCAACAACAGGCACGTCTGTAAGTAGAATTGTGGGTTTTTTCTTCTTCATAAATAGTTCCTTAATCTTAACCTTTTCTTTGTTTACTGCCTCCTATAATTTTAACCGCAGAGTACCATGTGAAATACAACTGAGATGATGCTGAAATATTTGTAAAACTCCGGACGAAAAACGAAGGAACCGCATGGTGTGGTGGTGAACGCGTTACTCCCCGGAAAGGACAATAATGCGTTCGTTCCCCACCGCAGACAGCTGTGATCCGGAGTTTTACAAATATCTCAGCATCGTCTTAGATCCTTAAGGTCCAAATAAAAACTTATTCACAGGAGTTTTTTCAGTAGATCTGTACATGTGTCTAATTTAGGTGGAAGATAATGGGATGGAAGAATTGTGCGAAATTTCGTCGGATGTTCCCACAGTCCTTAATCCGAACGTCGGTCATAATCCGTTGCTGATTTTCTTCACAAGCGGAACCACTGGTCTTCCAAAAGTAGTATTTATCATTCCTATGACAAAAAAATAGCGGAAATGTATTTATGAAGCATTTTTAAGTTGCCAGTTTCACACGAGTGTATGGATGAGTAATCCTTCATTCTACTACTAGGAAAATGCATCAAAATAGAAAATCCGTTTTGTCTGGGTGAATGATGAATTAAGTAATTTAACAACCGTAGGAGAAATGCGAGATTTAGGCAGCTGAATTCGCTCACCGATCGCTGATGATCAACATCCAGCAGATGAGTCTCCCGTTGTACGGACCAGTCCAGCCACGAGAGAGATTTCTTCTTCCATTGTCAATTTCTCATATCTTCGGTGCTATTTCCGCTTACTACGCTCTAGTTAATGGTGCGATTGTCTATATGATGTCCAAAGCGTTACCGAAGGCTCTTGTTGAGAATTTAAGCAATTTAAATGCAAGTTATTTTGAAAGTATTTTTTGACTTGACGGTTGTAAATGATTTCACGATTTCAGATACACGTATCTCACATCACTCCAGCAATGATGATGTGGTTAGCAATGGATGACACCTTAGAAAGTTTAGAACTTAACAACCTTCGCTCGATTCTTATAGGCGGAGCCCCAATCGATTCGAATCAAGCCAATTACGTAAAGCGAAAAATGAACCTGAAAGATTTAAGGCAGAGTACGCCTCTAAATAAATCATAGCTTTGTGTTATTCAACTTCCCCATAGTACTTTTTTTTAGCCATTGTTATGTTTCAGCCAGGCACCACTCATTAGTTCCTAGCTTTCAAACATATACTCGTCACCTCTACACTATTCCGTAAAAACTATTTGATCTGTCGAAAAATTTGAAGACTGAAAAAAGTCCCACAGTTAAAGAAATCCGAGTGATGTCCCTCCTAATACAGCTTATCTATTTGTCATTTCTGCAACTAGAAGTTGAAGTAGCTTTAATGAAATCATTATGCAACGATAAGATTCTATTCCAAATTGTACGCAGGGCACTCAATTTGCGAGCAAATGACTTTTGAATGGTACACCGAAATCTTTCAGGAGCAAGAACGTTCCAATGGCACAGCAGAATTTCTCATGCTGGAGACGTATAGATATAAACTCACATGTGATAGAATGAAAGATGTCTAGCAAGATTTATTTGCAAACGAGCATGTTTTTTGCGATCAAGATGCAGCAATGTGTTTCTTCTTCGTCCCCTGTCACCATTGTATTCTTTTCTTTTCTTTACACTGCCTATTTTTTAGCATAATTTGTCTGAAGAGAACGAGACTATTTCTAAGCAAACTCTGTTCTATTTAGGCGAGCCCATATTCTTTACTCTCATTAATATTATTTCATGACCCAACACCTCATGTATGACACTGTGTAGATCCCAGCACTTCTTGATTTCGATTGGTCCCATGGCACCCACCATACACGAAGGTCTCGAACTTTTCACGTCCTGAAGTCTTGGGATAGTCCGGCTAGAGTATTTCCACACTGATTAGAGGGAACTGGCCTTTCCCAGCTAAGCTTTGTACTAATTTCCCGACCCTAGTGAGAGGAGAAGGCTAGGTGGGCCCATAGAGGGATCGAGAAGGCACCTGGTTAGTTTGGGCTGACAGAGTATCAAGCGAGTCCACTACGACTGCATCACCCGCTCTCTATCCTTTTACGATTTTACACAAAATGTCCGAGGAAAATTCAAATGAGTGGACAAAAAGGAATTTGTTTTGTAAACGTCTCCTGCTAGACTTGTCATAAGCTTGAATAAGAACAGTTATCCATTTAGCTTATGGAATGACAGAACTTGGAGGATTGTGTACACTCCCTCATTATGAATGCGACAAAATTGAAAGCGTCGGAACCCCACTTCCAGGAATGCTATTTAAGGTAAATAACAATATTCAGAATTGATAACTTTAATCTACTCCCCATTACTTTTTTACACGACAGAGTATTATGTGAAATAAAGCCGCAGTGATCCTTAGATATTGGCAAAACATGGGTCTTAGCCAGATCGAACTGCGATTACCATTTCCGGGAGCTCACGTGTTACGCACGGCACCACTGAAACCTTCGTTCTGCCTTTCTCTCAGCCAATCTTCTTACTCTAACGGTGCCATCAACAATCACCTGTTAACGGAAAATCTGTGAGGCACAAATACGATATAGAACTGGCTGGGAGAAAGACATAGCAAGGGCCTGAGTGGTGGTGTGTGTAATACGTGATCCCTCGGAAAGGGTGAAATTGAGAATATTTTTAAACAGATTATTTTCTCCTGTAGTGACTAGAAGTATGAGTTGAGATATATCAATTACAGTTGCACATCTTATCAGGGATATTTCCATAGAATCTTGTCAAAAATAAGCTTTCTGCCTCCTTAGTTTTACCAATATTTGTGAATATCTATCATCAAATGGCGAAAACCAATTATTAACGTGGGTGTTAGTGTTGAAAATGTGTTGGAACTTTCTCGCTCATATTACTGCTCAAGACGTGTTCTTGTGTGAGAAGAATAAAAAATCTTGTTATTTTGTTTCCGTTAAGAAAGGATGAGAAACCACTGTTCCCAATATTTAGCGGACAAAACTAGAAAATATTCAGGAGGTAGTTAACTATTCGAGAACATACATTTTCATTTTTACAGATAGTAAATTGGGATAATAAGCAACTCTGCCCTCCAAGAACTCCTGGCCGTCTACTAGTTCATGGACCGCAGGTGATTCCCTGCTACTATAAGAATCCTAAGGCCACCGCGGAATTATTGGATGCGAATGGCTATGTGAAGACAGGTGCTTCATCATATGCTGCTACTATTGTTCACAATTGCATTTAATAGCTAGGCCGTTCCAGGTGATGTTGCTTTTTATGACGAGACTGGTAATATTTATGTGCTTGATCGGATCAAAGACATAATCAGGCATAAAGGAACTCTGGTGAGAGGAATCAGACGCAAAGTTCTGATATTCTTGAGAACTAAATCTAGTCAATGACGTATTATTGTCAGTACACGAACAAGCTTTGCGAATTACCATCGCGTAAACTACGTTCCTAATAGTTCAGGTGTATCCATCAGAAATAGAATTAATTCTTAGAAGTCACCCAGGAATAGATGACTGTGCTGTTGTAGGGAGGCAAGACCACGTTTCTGGAGAGGTGAAAGAGTTACATTAATTCACTAATTTTTGATAGCAGTAACTAAAAATAGGAATTAAACTTTTTTGTGACCAGCAGGTGCCGGCTGCTTTCGTAGTGAAAAGTCAAAGTCATCCTCTCCTGGCTTCTGCGGAAGTGCGTCAGCACGTTGCAGGTATCTTAGATTTATTCCTAGTGGTTTCTGAAACCAATAAATATGACCTCATTCTACTCCAGGAAAAATTCCCACTTTCAAAGAGCTTAGAGGTGGTGTATTCTTTGTCACCGAGATTCCTCGCAGCATTTGTGGAAAAATTGTACGTAAGCAGATGAGGCAGTTCTGGGATCGCGAAAGGGCGAATTCAAAGGTAATTACTGATTTCTCGCGAGAATTATCCACGCTTTGCGAAGTCATGAATGACTAACAGGTTCTCTGTCTTTGACCTTAATAATTTTTACTTAAAATCGATCGTATCATTTAGGACATAGCTGTAAAGAATGCCAAAACGGGAAAGTTCGTTGGCATGTCAGAAAAAACTCATGCTAAAAAGGCTAATGGCTCAGCTACACCGGAAAAAAAGTACATTGGCAGATCGCCTAGGACCTAAGGTAGATTTCATAATCATTTAACAGCTGTCATCAAAGACGGTGATGCATTTCTTAACAGGTCATATAGGAACCACATATTGAATAACATATAGTAACGCAAGACAAACTGTGCTTATTGGTTGGCTTAAAGGGCTTTCTTTATGGTCAAAACTCATCAAAGGTCATTGATTTTCGTTACCTCAGTTTGCAACACATTTGATTTAAAGTTAGCCAAAGCTGAAGCTTTGCACAAGTAATGCTCGTAAGGAATAAGATGGAAAGTGAAACCAAAAAACACTTAACGATTCAATATTAAATTATTCAGCGGTTCCTTCAACAAAAGTGAAAATGAACTCAGATACCGATAGTAGATTCTCTAGGAAAGGGACTGTTATTTGAATAGTAGCGCACAGCTGCTGAATAGTTGTGATTTACTAAGCAAAGTGAATACTCAAGCTACCCTCACTCCTCCTCCTACAAGCACATCCCACGTGACAATTTCGCAATGGTTCTATTGTCCTCTTGCTAGTGTATGAACGGTTTCTTAGTATTGTTGTTCCTAAGCATTTCTATGTTATTTCTTTGTTTCTATTACTTCCTACTTCTTTTCCTTGACTTTTCTACCTTTAGTACTAGTGAAAACGAGCACACTTTCATTCTATGCCATCAGAGCAATTCTCATAGCTCCGAGACAAGCGAAGGCGCCGGAACGTTAGCCGAATAAAAATTTATGCCAACCTCGTGTTAACTCAATCATGTATAAAACTGTTGATTATTGTTACCGAGGTTTATTGAAAGTCGACTTTTAAGATAATATTCATGCAATTAAACTGCGTAGCTCACTTGAAGGTCCTCAATGAAAATAACTGATCAATGAGTTAAAAATGAAACGAAATAAAAATTCTGCGAATATGAAGAAGAAGACCGACGACAGTGGCGAACCCCTTCGTTCTACCCAACTCACGATATGACAGGGGTCCTTTCGTTCTATATAGCTCGCGATATGATGGAGTTCTGCTTACGGCTATTGTATTCATAGGTTCAATTAAACAATACCTTTGCAATAATACCATATTAGAGATTGATATTTATTACAGCACATTATAAATTATGATCCCGTGTGCTGGAAGGTGAATTACACTGAAGGGATGAATATCGTCCCTTCAGTGTATTAACGCAAACTATCTGGCGGGTGACAATCGCTTTGATATCTTCCTTAGCAGGTAATGGTACATAGATTACGGAATGACACTTGCATAATATATAGACCCTAGGTCGCCAAGGAACGAAGGAATAGGTGTGCTGAAGCCCACAGGACTCGTCAATGGACCATCTAAATATCACTGCACACTGCCTGGCTTCGGGAACCGACAAATATTCTCGGCACATCTTCACTAGTGGGTTGGTTGTTGAAAGCTACTCCCCGCAACTAGTTGTCGAGCCACCTGAAATAATTGGCAGTCAGTTCGCGAGGATTTCGGATTCGATGAATTCTTTGCAGTATTGCTTGTGCGAAATGGAAGTGGACATTGTCATGCAGGACATTCACTGGTAGTAGTGGGAGTCGTAACCATTGGTGCTACCTACGATAAGTCGCCATTGCAGTGGATCGCCAACATTCAGCTGATGTAAATAACGTTTCGGGAATTATATCGATGCATATTCTTTGTTTAGCCTTGTCTACACAGAATGTTGTCAGTAACCGTAGAGTTACTCTTATTCACACATCACAGTGCGAAATGCGATCTAGGAACAAACCGCTTTCGATGCCCAAAATGAACCAAGATATACAAGTCGTAATGGTGTCTTTTAACTTGTCGGTATCCATGTAGCACCAACTTTTCTGTTTTTTTTTTGTTTGTTTCTTCTTTTAAAGTTCCGATGGCTGAAATGCTCCAGAATTTCTTTCAATTATATCTTGTTCTCTTGCACGATATCAAACTTTGTGTTTGAATTCACTGGAAGTTTACAAAAAGTGGTTAACTAGCGAATACGCTCAGAAATCGGATAAAGTGAACATATTTGGAATCTCTCCATAGTTCAACATGGTCATTGGCCCAACGGGCTACATCTCTTCTGGTACTTTCAAAATTGTAGTAATTTTTGCAAATTTTTGACTTCAAAGAAAGTGAACGAAACATGATTGTTGGCCCAGAAATATGGATTTCTCGTGATTAACAGTGGAAAGAATCTACATTAATAGGACTTTACAACTGTTGTTGACCAATACAGATCATTACTATTTCTTTACCCACTGATGTGAATGTCATAAGCTCACAAAGACACTGAAAAATTGATTTTATCAACAGACGAATATCCTCTTCAGCCCAAATACACAATTGAGTGTTGGGAAACAAATTCCAAAGAACAAGCATACCTTCTATTTATTGGTTCACTTATACGTACAGTAACACGGAGGTGAAAAAAGCTTGAACCGAAAACAGAAAAGCTCGATGCTAACAAAAATCTGAACCATCATCTGATTAGTAATCATCGTTCCGAAACAGTCATAGAAATCTGCATTCATAATTATGTACACTTCTCACGGTGACGTACTTACAAAAAGCTGTGTATGTACAAGTAAAATACTGTTCCAGTGCAAAGTTTACTACCACACCTCAAACCAGTTTGCTCTAACGAAAACGAAGAAATTATTTACATAAATTTTCAGGAGCTTATATAAAACTACAATGTACAGAACTATCTGAATAAGCGAATCGAAAATATTGGCAGTGTACTAAGCAAAAGGGAATGAATAGACTACAAAACCACTGAGATGAGACCAAAATGTCCCGGATGCGACAGTGTGCTCAGGGACTAGGATGTCAACGACTGAACTAAAGCACAGGTGACGGCACAAAACAGGCTGAATACCAATTACAAGACATGGTGTTTAGAACAAAATGGCGTGCTATGAATAAGTTAAGGACTGATAAATGAGGCCGAAGTGGACAATAAAAAATCCTAAATTTCAACATAACAAAGTATAACTGAAAGAACCACTTTACAGCTCTTTGTTTCCCACATTAAACTCCCTTGTACCGCCTTTGTGCAACGGTCGGCGTCGAGTGGAGACAACCTTGGACTGAAACGAAACGCTGATTCTTCAAATTACTCCGAATACATCAGCCTTTAATATTTCGCAACTAACGACAAAATTTAAATAAACTACATTCTGCTTGAGGGAATGTAAATATAATTCCTGTCACAAAACACCACTACCACTGAAAACAACACGAGAACCACTTTCCTATTTGCACAAATATCTCCCAGGAACGACTTTCTATTAACCTCGGCATTGGAATATGAATGCGTCGTTTTCTTGTTCAGAAAGCGCGAGGTTTTTAAACACAATACGTTTATTTCCATAGAAAAACAATGCAATGCAACACTAGCTGACGTTTCGGCAGTATCACCTTCCTCAGAGCCTGGAAGGGTATACAGATATACAATCTACTAGGCCAGACGCTTCAATAACACTTACAATAAGACGAAAAACTCCATGGTAATTACGTGATCAACAGCTTCTCGAAAAACTCACCGCTCCTTACGTGACTTCCAATGAGGAAGTTTAGAACAGCTGATAACAATCGCATATGGTTAATGACTGCACCATCCAACATCAGAAATTGATGCAACATACGGGGTCAGATCGTGTATGACCTCTGGGCATTCCTCCCTGCTATTCATTATAGGGTTTTTGGCATTTACCCAAAAAGCCTTAGGAAGTTTTCGCGCTGGTGTTTTAGTCTCCTGTGCAAGAATATTGACTTTTACTTCAAAAAACCAGAGGTCGTACGCCACCTGACCCCGTATCAACCATATGCGACTACATTCAGCTGTTCTAAACCTCCTCATTGGAAGTCACGTAAAAAGCGGTGAGTTTTTCGAGAAGTTGTTGATCATGTAATTACCATAGAGTTTTTTCGTCTTTTGGTAAGTGTTATTGAAGCGTTTGACCTAGTAGATTGTATATCAGTATACCCTTCCAGGCTCTGAAGAAGGCGATACTGCCGAAACGTCAGCTAGTGTTGCATTGCATTGTTTTTCTATGGAAGTAACTGTATGCTGTTTAAAAACTTCGCGAATGCTGAACAAAAAAACGATGCACAAATATCGTTTCTAAGTTTACCTTTCTCGCCACATTATAAACAATTCTTAAATAAACGTTTATATATATATATATATATATATATATATATCACCTGTAGTTCCGTTGATCGTCGAGTGACTCGAGCGAGCACCAGTAAATCCTCCATTTTTTCCAGTCGCGTGCAAGAGTAACCCAGTGGGTTCTGCTTGCTCTAGGGACTCGTCGAGCATCATATTTATCTTCAAGGTTCTTTGTGAAGAACTTCGACCATCGGGTCGGTGGTCTTCCTGCAGTACGTTTGACATCCCGAGGAATCCAGTCACTAACGGCTCTTATCCATCGGTTGTCATTCATACGCATTATGTGTCCGGCCCAACTTATCCTCGACTACCTGGTGCACAGAACGGCATCTTTGATTTTTGATCGTTGACGCAGATCGGAGCTTCGGAACCCATCCCTCACTTGCGTGGAACGGGATACACCTAGCATCGTCCTTTCGACTGCGTGTTCGATAACGCTGAGTGACCTTTCATCCTGCTTACGCAGATTAAAGCAGGAAGTATCGTTGAATCGAAAAGGTGGGCACAGAGTCGCGCGCTCTTTGTCTCTTCACTACACTCTCGATGCTGTTGAAAACTCTCCAAGCCGCCTGTTTACTCTTGCTCAACTCTGGGGCTAGGTCATATATCATGTTGATTTCCTGACTTAGATAGACATAACTGGAGCATTCAGAAATATTCGTTCCATTGAGCATGAATGGGGCATCCAAAACCATTCCGTTCCTCATAAAGAACACTTTTGCGAGATTTATCGAAGACCGATCTTTCCACAGCATTTGTCAAAGCGACCAAGCATTCGTTCCTCTTGGCTAACGTTTGGTGTTATAAGGACGATGTTATCAGCAAAGCGAAGATGGTGTAACTGCTGACTATCGATTTTCACTCCCATATTATCCCATTCCAATGTTCGCATGACGTCCTGGAGGATGGAAGTTAACAATTTTGGCGAGATGGTACCGCTTTGACTAACTCCTCTTTTAACATCAATGTTAATATCGTTGTAGAATGGTGGTACCTTGGTTGTGCAGTTTTTGTAGAGCTCACGAGGAATCTTTATGTACCGAGTAGGGACTCCTTGACTAACCTATTCTCCTTAGCTTCCAAGACTGCTTCTATCTCATCTGAATCAAAGGCCTCCCGTAAATCGATGAAAGTGAGACCGAGCGGTCTTTTGTACTCTCGCGATACTTCAATGAGATGGTCCGTGTGGATGTGGTCCGCCGTACTAAATCCTCTTCGAAACCCTGCTTGCTCACATGACTGTCCTTTGTCTAGTGTTCTGTCAATCCTGTTTAGGATGACTCGAGTGAAAAGTTTGTAGACGACAGACAGTAAGCAGATTGGGCGATGGTAGCCGATATCGTGCAGGTCACACTTCTTGAACAATAACACGGTCTTCCTGGTCTTCCACTGAGTAGAGACCTTGCATTCAGACAGGTAACGCGTGAAGAGCCAACCCAATGTATTTACGAGGACTGGCGGAAGCTTCTTCACGTGTTCAGATCTTATCCTGTTCGGACCTGGTGCTGTTCAATTTCTCACCGGCGAAATAGCATGTCGGATTTCGGAAGGGAGAACCAGTGGTACAACATATCTAACCTCCTTTATTTCATATGACAGAAGGTAGACGTGGCTATTGTAGAGATCCGAGTAGTATTCGTGAATGACTTTCTCCGTTGCCTTTCTGGACGCTGTAACTGTTTCTTCTGGGTGCCAGAGTGCAATCATTTTGGTCTAGCAATTGGTGAGGCTTCGGTGAGCTTTGCGAATGCTTTTCCCAGCCTCTGCAGCTTCGACTATTACTGCTGCTCTTCTCTCTTTAACATGTTCTTTTATCGCCTGTCTGCATTGTTTTGCATGCTGGGACGTTAGTTCGAGGTTGCCTGCAACACGTGCGATTCCTCGCTGACGTATCAGCTCGAGTGTTTCTGGAGACAGACGTCTTTTGGTGACTTTCAAACTCTGAGCTTTTATAGCGCTAACGTGAAGGCGTTGAATGAGCCGATCGTATTCTTCGTCAATGTTGTCGACAACAGCATCTCCTCTCCAACAGTCGACTAATGAATTGAATAAGTCCCAATTTGCCGTGGTTCTGGGACTTCGGTTTTGGAATTAAGCGGCTTTTTCTCCTTTCTGCGAGAAGTGGAATCATGCACGAAAGAGATGATGGTCTGATCCCGTGAAGAATTTTCGAACAACAGAGACATCGGTTAGGCAAACCATCTATTTACCTTTTATTTATTTCCTATGATGTAGTCTACTTCGTTATGGCACTCTCCGTTGGCAGACTCTCACGTCCGGCGCTGAGGGTGGGGCTTCTGGAATTGCGAAATACCATGGAATGTCTTGGTCGCCATAAACTCAGACAGCCGCCCACCCTGTTCGTTCCATTCTAATCCGTGAGTCCCAATGTGACGTTCTTCTTGGTCGAATCTTTGCATTGAAATCTCCAATTATGACCTTGAAGAATGTGTGGTCTTCTCTGTAGAACTTCTCTAAGTCCATATAGAACGCTTCGACTTCTTCTTCGTCATAGTTTGATGTCGACGCGTAAACGACGAAGATTGTCAAAGCGGAAATGGTATTGTATGATGTATATATATATATACATATATATATATATATCCTCTCAACGGTTTACCGCCTCATAGTGGCTGGGAGGTGTTCCTGCGCGTCGGACTACGATGTACAGCGGGGGATTCATCCCCTGGCAGGCTCGCCCAAGCAGAGGAGTCCTGCGTTTCTATCAGGAAGCCCAACTATGTGTAAACGAATACCAAGATCCACCACCGTCCTGGTATCAAAGTCGCATGGTGGTAAATCTCCCTTTGATCCACAAGGGCTACGACTGCCTGTAGTGGTGAAGACATGGGGCGTACTTCAGCCACGCTAACCTCGGGACTCCAGGGAACCATAACGGCTTAACCAGCAAATCTCGGAAAGGTGGAGAATATGCTGGGGCCCGCGCAACCAGTGAAGAAGGGTCACTCATATGAGATGTTAACTAACATTGTGGTCTCATGTAGTAGCACATTATTCAAGGGTTACGCCGAGGGATGTGTACATGTGGATCAGGCCAACGGTCGATAATTTTCCTCTTGTGTGCACTTCCAACGCTATGAAGCACATTTGCCTTTTGACAGCACACATCACGGAGGACCTCATCCACTTGCACAACGTAACACTTCAGAAATTATTCATGCAACCAAAAGATTCCGTAATTAAACGCCACCCTCAAATTTTCAATGAAACCATAAGTGAAAGGGTAACAAGCAACAATGAAATCCGTTCTCAAGTATAAAAGCACTAACACGTTCGAGTCAAACGTGTCAGCATATTTGAGAAAATTTACAGATGAAATTATTACCATCTTCTCTACAAATCAAAATAAAGACCCAGAAGGCTGGGCATTTAGTAAAACCACCTCGTACTACTCCGTATAATATGAATCACCGTGATCATTTATATAACAAGTCACTGGCGAAATTTACCCTGGGAAATTAATTGAAACATAGGCAAAGAAAACACTTAAGTAGAGTGAAGATTGCAGGGAGGTCTTCCGCCGCAAGTACACACCATTGTAATACCTGTTTTATGAAACATCGATAAGAAACCAGTTCCAGAACAGAAGTGTTTGTTGAAAAGCTACATCCACGCCTAATTTATGTCCCCCTGTCCATGCATGGTACAGTTAAAAAATTAATGAGTACAACCTAAGATTTTAATCAAATCGAGCAAACAGGAAGATATCCGTTTCGCCGGAACTTCTTGTAATATGTTGTAGAATCATTATGAAATGTATTCCGCATTACGAAATCCTCGTACATAGTCATATGACTTTCTCTCTGCTTCTCCAGCAGAAGATTAAGCTCCCAACCTAACAGGCAGTTTCTGTTCTGCCCACAAAGATGATAAGATACAATTTCAGCGAAGTGTGATGAGTGTGAAACCGAAGTGCAATTGTAAAATTACCCTTAGACATCCACGTAAAGTCCTGTCCAAAAAAAATATTCTACTATGAGGACGTTCACCTTCTGAAGGCCACTCAGTAGCACTTGTTCCACATATTTACGAGTTTCATCTCACGAAAAAACAAGAATGCAAGGATGTAAAGTTCTGTTCAAAATAACTAGACTGACAGAGGATGAAGTCCACAACAATGGCAACTGTGATCCACAATGCTTCAAAAACGAATAATTTTTAAAAGAATTTGGTTGGTCGAGATCAGAATAACTGCTTGAATTGAAATTCTTTGATGATTGGCGTTTTCAGTAAAATGATAATCACTTTGCTCTTATCTGAATTAACGCCTGATTCATAGGTAATCAGAGTACCCAAGCTACTTCCGAGCAGATGAAGCTCACTCTTAAAGGACTGCTTATGTATGCGTCCATTTCTTGCTGATTCTCTAATATTGGTGGACAGATAAACGCTGGTACCCTACCTGCAGATTTAGAATGTCGCCATCTTCAATACGATGGCTGTGAAGAGACATTCCGTGGTATCGGAACTCTTCCACCCAACCATCCTTCGTGGTGAGAAACACTCGTAGGCGTGCATATGGTATACCGCATTCCTTCTCCAACGATCTATAGTATCAGACAAATTGGAGTTATACTTTGCATGTGGATGTTTATTTCATTTTGATGTATCACAGATTTAAAGACGTAGCAAGCGTACATTGTGATTGTTCACAAGATATCTACTCACAGTGGATTCCTTGGAAGTTTACTTATTTTCAAGAGAATGTCAACACAAAATCTCGAATGCATTCATGACTGATAATAAACCACTCACTTCATCAGCTGACCAACGCTTCTGTTGAGATTTATTCGAAGTTTGGCGTTATAGTTAGACTCTTCACAAAAGACCTGCACAACGGCTGAAGATTTCGGCGTGAGGTCAACCTTAACTAACTTCTCTACATGTCCATGCTTTTCAATTAGACGTGCATAATGGTATGGCTTGTCATCTCGATCCTAAAGTGTGGTGGAATTACCCAAATTATCCGCTGGAGATATCAATAGAAACTTTAAAGCATAGATAAAACACCATACTTGATAGTAACGAATAAAATATCGTTCAGATTGTTCCCGTTGTTCCAGTGTAATTATAGAACCATTTAGCACCCGAAGATTACGAATTCTTGCCACAACTAAATGGATTCGTTCATCTTCGTTGAACGATTCAAGTAGTGGAATTGCGAGGATCCTCAAATCTACTAAAGAAGGAAGCCGGTCCAAGCCGTCAATGCTTTCCCAATCGGAAATATCCGTCTAAAAACAGGTAGGTCTAAACAAGATTTATATTGTGACACGCAATATTATTGATAATAATAATAATAATAACATGCATAATTCACTTTGACTATGAAAACTACGGTGGTCTTATATTAGCTCTACAGTAATAATGGAGTTACTTATTAAAAATCATGGGTTAATTTGGCATTTTTCTGAAGATCACGAATTTCATAATTCCTTAGTAATTCGACCTTTCCCAGGTTCAACGACTGCAGTGAACTGAGTTTGTCAAGTGACGACTGATGAGCGACAGATTTAATCGGATTTTCACAAAGAAAAGCCGTTTTTAGACTGGGAAATCGATGTATGAAACGAACGATGAGATCCCAGTCGCCAACACGACACCTGCAACATCACAAGTCAGTACGTCTCGTTAGTATAACGTCACAATTACAAGCCAAAAATCTTAGCAAAATGCCAGCGACAACGTTTGACGGCAAGAGCATTTCATGTTGTCGTATTCTTCTTGGATCATTAATTTTTAAAGCATTATTTTATGACTCTTACGAAGACTTTTACCATTCCTCTTGTTTGTATGCCTTTCCTTACACAATTCACTTCGAATGTGAACATAAATAACATATAAAAATTCCTGTAAGGCGAACCTATTCATATGTATTGTCTTCACTGATTCGTTCATAATAGATGTGTCATCAGTGGATAGATCGAGTTGGTTGTCCGAAAGATGCAACTCTTGCAGAAACGGTGTTTGTTTTAGAATTGACGACAATGATTTCAGCATAACATTTGTGCCATTCAAAATCAGTGTATGCAGTAAAGGGGCTGATGGCAAATCGATAGAGATCTGCAACTTCAACGATAAGAAAGTGTCAAAAAATAGCAGTGGTAATATATAACTTAAGATATCATTTGTGGAGTAAGTTGTTATACACCATATGTTATGTTGCATATGGTGCACTGCTACACAGATAGCATATGTCACGTAATCAACCTTGACTTTAGTGTACTACATCATCTCATATTCAGAACTCTACATTTAATACATAGCGCTTGTATTATTGCGATGTATTGCGCCTACTACATGTGTAGGATGGCAAACTAGACGAAGCGCATTGTATCCAGTGCGTCTCTCCTACTCAGTAATATATTTTCCCACATTGAGTTCTCTTACCGCACTCTTTTCTATTCGACCTGAGGTTTTTAAATCAACATTATTTCTGGCATAGACAACGAAAACTTGCTCTCTACAGTTGATAATTTGCAAAAAAATTTTCGGGAGAGTTCGTTTTGCGGGCAGACTTTCACTATCAGCCCTTTCACGACAAAACCCGTTTTCCGACAAATGACGTTAATTTCTCGATCATTGATAGCTAAAACAGTACAGCAAATTCACTTCAATAAATCTATCAATTTTTAACTATTTAACTACGTCGGTGAAAAAGAAGTTATCAATGGTTATCAAAAGACCAGAACGGTTACGCATGTGGCAAGACGCGACGGGAGGTTCTACGCTGGTCTCCTATTGACCATAACAACAATATTATACGAAATTTTTTTAAAAAAAAATTTAGTTGATTTAACTTACAATAAAAATCAAAAAGTGCGTTTTTCATCACCGTTAGCAGAACAGTAAAGAACAGCGACCACCCTTATAGTAACGTTCCTTCACCCAACCCCATATCTTGTTGTAGAGCATCCCCTGATTGCTCTTATCGACCTAGAGCGCACACTTACACAATTGTTCAAACTGGCAGTTTTAGAAAAAAGAAAGGCAGGGAGAGGGCGGGGATCAATTTATAGCAGAAAGTACAACATTATTTCATCGTTATTCCTAATACTAACGTTACTTGCATAAATTAATGGAAAATTACTGCTCTAATTAGCACTATAGGTGATGAGCAATAGTATGAGGGAGTATAAAAACTAAAAGAAAAAGTAAAAGTACCTACTAATTCAATTCTATGAATTAAAATGGAATTCCTCATTCTTTCTTCAATATTTCAATAATTGTGCTTTAAAATAAACATTTTTTAAACATGGATGATGTATGACCCCTTCTTAACCTGGCTGAATCCCTCTGTCATCAGTTGGGACAAAGATTTACTCAGCGGTCGTAGTAGACAGTTACCACTTTTGTCACTCAAATGATCAAGCCTCTGCCAAAACCCGAATAGTATGTGACGAAGCTTGAGTGAAGATAAAAAGATGAGAGCGAACACTGCTCTCCTTTGGCGTTTCTTACTGATGCAACTTCCTTAGTTTTCAGAATCGGTGAAAATTAGGAGAGATGAACAGCAGCTGCACAATTGCATTTCCACCTTTCAGAATAATAACACTTCACTATGGGATGTGGAACTGCTGGGAAGTGTTTTCGTTTAATTTATTAAGCTCTTAGGATTCTCTGGAGATACTCTTTCCTGCAAAAGGATATTTCCAGTACACACCACAAAGACTGTTGACGGTGAAAACATGCCTCCGTTGATGCACTAAACCACTGAAGTTTGACACTCTGAGACATCTTTCCGACATGATAAGACGGTAAATCACTAAGTAGAATTCCTGAGAATGACTCAATGCTCGCGCAGTACGTCAAAGGAATTCAGCAATGTTTGTTTTCTCCACAGAAATAGCTATTAAGTCTTATTGCCACAACTTTTTAGTGCTATTTCAAGCGATGTGTCCAAGAACACCTGTTTTACAATCCACAATTTACCAGGTGTAATCGACCAGAAGCCTGAAGAACTGTGCGTACAGTAACCATCTGATCGTTTATGTTCACCAGTAGCTTCCGCTGGTTGTAGCTTTCGATAACGTGTTATCATAATGGGCTGAGGAAGACGGAAGCGTACTCAACTCTAGACATTATAGTAAGACGTTCTCCTTATCATTCCACCTCTACACCATTATATCGCTGCGATAACGTTGTGCTGCCAATTGCTTTGTCATCTGTTCCATGTGGACGACCCAATTAGGAAGTCGTTTGCTGTCTTTTCTAAGGATGCCAACAAAATAGATCCTTCTCAGTAGAAAACTCGCAACGAAAGTAAAAATTCTGAAACAATTATGGGTATCATAAAGATGTTTTCCCTCGCCCAACAAATGGTCTTATCACAACATAATGAGTCACATCACAACTATGTGAGTGCAGCTGCCTTTACTGCACAAATTCAATAACTTGAGTCCGTATTTGTGCCCCTTATTGTCGATATACTGGCGAAAGACGACTTTTCCCTTTAAACAACAAGACGGGATCCTCGGCATTCATCTGCTTTCAAGGCCTATCTGTTTTGCAGTAGTACCTATAGAAAACTCGATTAACTGTCTAATTGTATGATCAATGCCGAAACGGAGGTTCACAATCATAACATTATCACAGCGAAATAGAACAGAATCTTTTTCATAAGTACGTCAAATTCTCAAGCCCTCTTGTTACCGAAATTATCGGTGGTTATCGGAAATCGATATAGTTCATAAGATGAAGTATTCAATGACTCAATTTGTTTTTCACCTCGCCATCCAACGGATTGTGACTGAGATTCAGGGTACGCAACTGCGGAAGGTGCTTAAACAACGCTTGCACACAATTCCACTGAATACGATTCCAAGCAAGATCAGCCTGAATTGATTTAACAATGTCTTCGTGAACAAAAAATTAGCCGAGTTCAATTTCAAAATATGCTCTCAAAAACTTTAAATCCCGCTGAAAATCTTTTAAAAGGCTTCCGTGAGATTGAAAAATGCCACATTAGACGAACAATGCTGCGAACTAAATACGTGGTCATACCTCGGCGACGTGTTGCATTAGGCCTGAAACTTCTGCGACGTTACCTAAGTGAGAGATATTGGCATTGTTGAGCACTACCAACTCCAAAGCACGTTTGCTAGCCATTTTACACGGTGAACTCCCAGTCTGAAAACCTTCTACAAATGAGAAAAAGGAAGAAGAGAAGTCGCTCCCATAACAATTTGCTTACGTATATTTACTAACTTCGGTGTGTCTCACCGATCAAGTGAGATTAGCAACTAGTGCTTATCTAAGCGATACAGGTAGCCTTATCCAACTACAGAGTTACAGCCAGAAACCGTACAAGATAGTACTGCTGGTATAAATAGGATATGGCTTAAACCTTCTCTAAGTACTTCACATCATATATCAATATCAAAGACAACTACGACGAAATCATGATTCTATAACTTACAAAATTTGTGAGCACAATATCTTGATCCATATAGGCGTCATCGTCGTTCAAATATTTCTGTCCTAGTTTGTACACCAGAGAGCACGTGGTCCCGTCCTCCTCCATGGTGGCAATCAGCTGAGTGCCAAACGAACCGCGACGCGAGCAAGCCACGCGACGCGGCCGCTCTACTCCCTTAGCGAACTGCACGTTGTGGCAAGCAGTGCTCTAGAGGCGGCACTGTTCAGATCTAGGCGGACCACTCAATTATAGTGACAAATGGGTTCTATCCGTCTCTTTATCCTTGTTTGTATTATATGATTAGCGATCTCTTCCAACTGTTTACCGCCTCTTCGTGGCTGGGTGTCCCTCGGTCTGGACCGCATGTGTCTGCGGCAGGAGTCAAACTGGCTAATACCCTTTCCGGGGCTAACGCGTTAACAACCACACCGTTCGAGTCCTTCCTTTTGCCTTCCTCTTAGCTAGTTTCCTATCTACCAGTGCCATCAGTAATCTCATCAATATCTCAGCACCATTGTGGATATTTTACATTTCCACGTTACGCACCAGTATGTGACGTGCAGACTGCTCAAGGACGCATTGTCCGCCAAAAGGCAGATCACACTGCATGGCGGCAATAGATGAACATCCGCCATGTGGAAAAAGGCAACGCCGAATAATGTGGTCCATTCAAGCTGTGCTCCCGTCCTGGATTCGATTCGATGGACCATCCACATTGCGACAACGACCCACTGCGGACCATCGGTTCGGATCAACGTAGCTCTGAAGAAGCTTAAGGCGCTGAAATGTTGGCCGGATAAAAGTTTGTTTATACAAACTGCGGGTTAGCTCGGTCGTATAGGACATTGCTGATTATTTCTAGCGAGTTTTAACGAAAGTCGGTTTCAATGATATGGTCAAGTCCTCTGTTTTAGCTTTCATTTACTACCTACTCTTCTTTTTCTTAGTAAAGTATGATGTGAAATACAATCACTAGAATGCGAAGATATGAACAAAACTCAGAACATCACTTGAGCTTCGAACTCAAGATTATCCCTACCGAGCGTTCGCGTGTTATCCACCACACCAAGCGAGCCTCTTGCGCTGTCTTTACGTTCCTGAGATAGAATGGTTGCAGGACTGAAACATACGATGCGTCCACGCTCTGAGGAAGGCGTAATCGCCGAAACGTCAGCCATTGAACAACGACAACAGGAACAATAAGATCATCTGTACCAATATTGCGTCGACTAAAAAGGGCAGTTCTTAAGGACATATATGCAGATATGCTGGCAACCTCTCCATAACGAATCAGCAAATTGAGAAAATACGATGCCATTACAGCATTAATTCTAATGCCTGTTCTTGGTTTTCGACGCAAACAAATGTATAGTCAAGTTATGTGCACGAACTACCAATGATTTCATGATGGCATAATGTTTATTAAAACCTAGGCTGGTTTCTCAGCAATTTCAACAACTTGGCCGAAGGATTGAGAGCCTTATAGATTTGTAGAGGTGGCTTTCCTCTTGGTTTAAACGGTCTTTGTAATATGTTCTTTTAGTTCTTTTAGTTTATGATTTTCTTAAAACCGGACTTATACAAGATAAAATAGAAAATGAAACCTGTGTTTTCAACATTAAGTGTGACAAGTCCAAGCATCAAAGTACAATGGTGGACATCATCTTGTTCGATTCTATGAAATCCATATTATTCGGATCAAAATAAAAACCTTATCGAGAAAAAATATTTCGTAGGTTCCCAAAAAATCGAAATTTTAACTTACTAGGATAACAAGACAATCTTCTTGTAGGAAAAGATGTGTGTTCCAATGTTTACTGCTCAAATCCATGAAGCTGTTTATGCTCTGGAACAGGCGCGACTAAGTTCTCTCACGAATGCGTTGAAATCAATGTATCCTTGTATAGCAGACAAACAAAGGTGTTATTTTATTCCTTTATTTACGCATAAGTTGACGTTACGGCAGATTTCACCTTCCTCAGAGCCTGGAAAGGTCAAGTTGACTGCAATCTACCCAACCGAACACCTCCATAACCAAAGAAAATACTAAACCAAGATTTCAATCACATTGAACACAGAATAGCTTCCTCGCACATTCAACGCTTTCTGTGAGTGTCTTCCATTGAATATGTCTCGTGGAGAGCAACCGCACAGAGTTCACATGGACGCATAATGTACCGATCCCATCAGAATAGCAGGGTTATATACCGCCCAATATCACGCGTGATTATGAGGCATTCTTCTCTGTAGTTCAATTCTGGTTTCCTGGAATTAATCCAGAATGCATCGAGAGTTTTTCGCGCTTGTGTTCTCGATTCCTGTGCGAGGATCGTGACCCGTACTTCAAAGTCCTCACCGTTATGTCTCTGTGTCCTATGCGTACCTAGTGGAGTATGTAGTTTAAGTTTATCGACTAGGTGTTCTTTTATGCGGACGCAGAGTGGTCTACCTGTTTCGCCCATGTATTCGTCCCCACACGGTTTACAGGAGATCAGATAAACTGTACCCGAGCTCATGCAATCATCGTCTCTACGATTAGAGCAAATTATGCAATTTTGCGTTGCACATAGACGGTTACGAACTAGCTGGCGCCTAAGAGTACTCGGTGACTTTCAATTACGGTTACCGAATTCTCCAGAGCCACCCTTCTTAAGCAGCGTTTTATAGCTGCACTTACCTCATTTAAAATGAAGGGCAGGATAAAATCTCATTTATGCCGAAATAGGAAGTCGGTCGTGGGAGTCAATATATATTGTTTATCATGCCGTAAATGGGAATTCAAAGTGGCTAAACATAGCTTGAGTGTTGATCAACGTAGTAAACTTTACAATGCATTTGTTTTGACATGATATGAAAATGGCTCTATATTTCAGTTACGTAGCCAACAAATAAAGAATGAAGGAGAGTGTTTAACTTTCCCTTCAATTTTGGTTTTTATTTACTTTATATTATCCGTATTTATTCTTTACTTTATTTTGTTTGTTTTTACTTTTTTGCATATTGCTTTCTTTTCATGGCAGAGTGTTACGTGGAATACAACAACAATGTTGCTGAGATAATTGTAGAACTCTGAACTCCAGGAAAGAGTTTAATGTGCAATTTTACGAAATCTATAAGGCTTTCAGTGGTACACTCGTTAACATATGAACACTCGGAAATGGTAGTCGCGGGTACGAAGCTGGCCTGGGGTTTCGGATTTTGTGAATGTCTTAGCATCAATGTCTTAAGACAATGTGATATATTAATATCAATATCTTAGCTTTATACTACGCTCATGTCAGCTCAATCAGACAAAAAATTATCTTAGCTTCATTGTCGTTGTATTTCACATAATTACAAGGCTGTTCTTCAAACAACGGAAAAACCTTAGAAAATTGGGCAAAACTTTCGTAACAGTTCTCGCTTTAGATAAACGACGACAATGCTTAGCAGTGAATGTGAAATATTATCAACCCATTTTCTTCGCCGTCATTTGTTTAAGTGCACAGGTTCTTGCCGGATTTTCAGTATCCAGTCTATAACATATCTAACAGAGAAAAGATAGAAGTTTACAGGGAAATCTTTGTTTTGGAGAAGTTCGCGTTCGTCTGATTTGAATTCCGTATTCACAATAAAATGGTGCACAATCGAGAAGAGTCGTATAGGAGACTGTAATATAGCAGTATACTCGCCAGCTAAACTACTTGCTCGTAAAACAACACGACGTTAACAATATGTTTCCCCATAAAAAGTAGAAAAACGAAGCTTTAGACATTGGTCAATCCCTAAGGGAAGCGCCATGCATTTGATTCATGGAGCATCGTTAGAGGTAATTGAATGATCTGTTCTACAGAATAACTTGCGTTGCCTACCGATATAACAAGTCATTGTTGCTATCCTCCCAGATACGTTCGGTAGCAAACTGTTGTTCCCAGAACGATCAAACGCTTGACGAGCCACAGTGCAGCACCGATCCAAAGGGTACGTGTGTATTGCAGGGTATCCTAACAAATGCGCTAAAAGCGCTTCTTTATTAATTTGTGTTTTCAAGTGATAAAATTCCATAATTCCACTCATGACAGAAAACACGTAATTAAATAAACTTTATAATCTGAATTTCTTACAATTTGCAATTTAAAGTATTACTTACAATCTCTATAACTAATAATTACCGTGATTTATACACATTAACTACTTTTCAAAATCGGTAAAACCATTTCGCATGCTTTACAATTTTCACTTTTTGTGGGCATTATTGTAACAATCTGAACAAAGATCTGTTGCATTTGGTACGTTTAGTGTAAACTTGCTTGGAAGCATACCAGCTGCTTGGAGTTTTCTTTCTGAAACATAGTTAGCTAAGAATGTAGTTCAAATGTTCTATGCTAGCACATCAAGTATGAATAAACCTCAATCCTGAACTCATTTATTGAGCTTTCGAAGCCCCTTTGGGTTCACTACGGACCTCTGAGTAACCAAGTCGAAGAACCGTAAGTATCCAGAAACCATAGGAAGCAAACAAGTATGTGCTTAAAACAAACAAAAAAAAATCTAAAAAATCTTTTCGATTCGCTAGTCTCCCTGAAATGAGGAGAACAGCTCCATATGTTTGGTTTCACACACGGAGAATTTTCACTCATAGTTGCTCTCAACAACTTATGGTGTTGAGGTGGCAGAAACTAGTCGCGTTATCTGTTGTCTGTGGAAGTCATTGTACTAAGCAGCTGTTGTAGTTCTATTT